TTCTTAACATTTCAGTCCTGTCTTAGATACTCCCCAGCATTTCCTGGCGTATCAAGAGAGGTTTGGTGTGGTAACTGTGGAGGAGGGGTGAGTAGAAGATGGGGATAACATGGGCTTCAGCTTTTGGTGTCGGGAAAACATCCACCCAGTGATCTGTATCTTGTTTGGGTGTAAATATGGTGTTAATTATCTTCATGACAGATGGATCTGGCAATTCATTTCAGCTGCTTTAGATCATACATTCCTCTGGCTGGTAGACCTTTAGAGAACAGAGAAATAGATCTTCAAGATGAAGGAAGGAATGCCATAATAAGGACAGATGTTGCCATGAAATTTCAGTGTTGCATTCAGCAGGGACTTAGGTTTACATACCATCATTGTGATTTTCATATTTTTTCAGTCCTCTGTTCAGCTGGGCCTGTGTCACGTAAATGCAGTCTTCCTATTAAGTTCAAGGGCTAAAAGGCACACTAATAATTGGTTGGAATGAGTTATTGCTCATGAATAGCCACTGCTGATTCTCCAGTCTCTCTGCTTGTTCATATTTGTAGGAATTTACCAAGTATTTCACACACTGAGACTAAGAACTGACTTCCATCTCCTTCAACTACTCATTATCTGGGGTTTCTGACAAGTCACTTATGACATGGCCTTCCGATTGGATATCGGTAACAAATGGCAAAGGCATCAATAACCCAAATTTTGAAACAAACAATTGTTTCGGATAAAGTACAATGCTAAGTACATGAAATGCTAAGGATCCATGAACAATGACACAGCAGCCCCCAACTACCTGCAATCCTGATGATGGTAATTTCTCAGTCATTCTGCAGTCACTCCAAGAAGCCCTAGTGAGATTTGCACTTCAGTGTCTTAGGTGCGAAGTTAAAACACAGTCAATGACATGGAGTTTACAAGCTTAGCGCTGAATGGAACTCCAGACGCTAACAATATACTTCAAAATATTGTACTTGCCTAAACAACTGTACACAGATGATGACCAGTTCCTTCCAATAATTACTGAGCAACAGAAAATGTTTAGCCATAGAACGTGGGTGTAAAACGGTCAAAACTGAGAAGAAAAACATATTCCCTATATGACAAACTGCAGGTTTCTCTCTCGGTCTCTCTTTTTTCCTTTCTTTTTCAAGTATGAATGCAGTATCTCCAGGTGTCACTTAGGTACTAACGCTCTAGTCAGTGTCGGAAAGGCTCAGATGAATATATCACAGGACAGCACACTTCCTTCTCAGGGATCTTCAACACTGCTAGACCAAAACTTGTACCAGGGCTTCATGCTGGGATTCCTCCTAAGGCTATTTCAGTCAATGCCTTTGTCTTGAAAAAGCCTACAGGTTAGCACCACAAAGACAACTCGATCCATTGCCGTCCACCATGTTTTGAGGTTTCCTACAAAGTCTGTGGCAGAAAAGTTGGGAAAATTTTCAATTCTAAGAAACTTTTCCAGTTATTCTAACAGCTTTCCAAAGCTAACCTTGGTGTCTCTCAGCTTGGGCTGCCAGAAAGGAGAGCGTAGACCTCGCCAGCACAGCCGGCTGCTCACCCCTCACAAATTTGGCTACTGAGAGAGCAATGGGGAACAAGGGCTGCTCACCCCAGACTGTCCTACTGCCAGAAATGGCGATCCCCATGGGACTGACACCTAACTGGATCTGTGACATCCTCGGAGAGCTTCTCGTTGTGGGCACTCTCTTCTCACTGAGCCCTTAAGAAATCCATGGTTGCTACAAACGAGTGCAAGAGCAATGATTACTTTCCAACTGCAACGATGTGAGTGTAAAAGCACTATAGTAAGGGCAAAGTGAGGGCAAAGCAATTACCGCGTTCACCATTGTGACTCTCTCACACGTTATTTCTAGAGAACAGCCAGAGTGAAGCCCTCTGCGTAAGAGCACAACCCGAACTTTGGATTAAATTGTGAGCTGAGACTTTGAGATTTGCAGATGAGGCTCCTTCCTTATCACTCGCTGCAGTGTGAAGACTCAGCAGTTCTGTGCTGCACCTGGCATGACCTCTTTTTTTTCCCCCACTGATTTATTTAGCTTTCTGCTCTCTTCCCAGGCTCTGACTCTCATTTTGTATCACAGATATGAGCAATTCGAGTTGATCATGCTCAGTAGAATTGAGCGTATTTTGCCTAGTTTCTGTAAGGTCCAAGGATAAGGTCCTGTCCCTTAGAAATGTTTCCTAACCTCAGCTTGAGAACAGAAGGTCTGGCATTATTTTGAATTTCTTAATAAAAGGTTTCCACTGTTCTAGTTATTTACTCTCCTCTGTGGAGCACCCAGTGCTGACTAGGCAAGGGCTATCCATTAAAGGCTGTCTCTCCTCTCAGCTTAAAGAGAAGTTCCCTCCCTTTGATGGGAAGAAGGTAGGAGAAATTAATTTTTCTTTCAGCATCGCCACACCTGGGGAAAGGATCTTGCTCACAGATAACAGTGCAAGCAAATATTTTTCCTTGGGAGAAAAAGAGAAAGTGAAGATCAAGGTCAGAGGAGGCAAGAGTGAAGATATGCAACTGCCTTCAAAATAACCTTCCACAGAACGTGGGGGTGTCATTTTGTTTCATATGGAAAACATGCAAAAGCATAAAGCAGGGGTAACTGGCTTGGGGCTTACAGAGAGATAAAGGGGCTGCAAAGTCTGGCTGCACAGATATGCTGAATTCCGGCTGTACAGAATGAGACAAACAGGCAGATGCAAACAGGTTGAGAAAGATTGCATTTACATCTACATATATATATACATACACAGGTAGGAGCACAGCCCAAGACTTCTGCCCCTGACTTCCCTGAAGCATCCTCCCTCCTTCCTGCTTACGGAGTACAAGGACCGTGGCTAGTCTTTGCATAAGGTGCTAATGGAAAATTCCTCTTGCCTTTGCCTCTACCACATAACCACAACCCCGTGCAGAGTTTCGGCAAATTTGCTGCATCTCAAGGTGTGGCCCAGCAGGAGCACGGACCTACAGCCTCAGCCTACAAATCCGCATGACCCCCCCAGCATCAGAGGATACAGATCACTACTGTGCACATACACATATTAGGATAAAAAAAATCACCCCGGTTTTCAAAATTTCAAACGCATGCAGAAGTCTTGAATCAAAAGCAGCTATGAGTGCTTAAGAACCTGCATCTTTGACTCTCCACCCAGTGACTAAAAACTTCACTTTAGTTTTCCAAGTGTCTGATCGCAGCTCACTGGCAGGATTTTCCCTGTAGTCCCTGTAGACACAGACAACCTGAGGCCAGCCAGAGCAGAGGGTTTGGTTAGGTTGGCTGTGTCAGCCTCCAGGAGCACTCATTTCTGTCTACTGATGACAGGTAGAGCCCAGAAAGACTAACGTAAATTTTATGTCTGATTTTTAGCTGGCTATGTAACTAGGTGAGACATACAGACAGGTACAGTAATGTTACCCCACGTGGTTTATTCAGTGACGCACAGGAAAACTGTCATTAATCCCTGGCTACTGATTTAATTATTAGAGCGCCCTTTCACTTCAGCTAGCTATAAGCTAGAAGTGACCCACAGAATCATAATAAAAGAGAAGGGAATAGAACTCAGAATACAAGTTATGTTTTGGGCTTTTCTTCTTTACTTTCTTTTTTTTTTTTTTAATTTTCACATTTTGTTATGAACTCAAAACTGGACCTGTTTCTGTGGGAACTTGTGCTAAGGTATGCAAATATTTCAATCCAAACCAGTCCCATTTTCCAATGAGAGTGGGCCAGGTTTCAGGCAAAGATGCTTTCACAGCAAAACCATGGGAAAATTCACCATTTTCCCTGTTTCCAATATGCCAATATTTATCTCATATGCCAGCAATTGTTGGAACAAGGCTACAACCCAAGAAAGCACCTAAGCACATGCTTAATTTTCAGCACATGAGTAACCTCAGTCATGTCCTGGATCTTGTTTTTATATTCAGTATTGTTAGTTACCTTGAATTTTTAAATCCGTACGGACAATTTGCATCTTCTGAGCTGTATAATTGGGCCATGAAAGGGATGGTAGCTGATGACTACTGAATTCTTAATTAATCATTTTTATTATATTTAAATATGCTTCAGAAGACCATAATGATGTATGTTTCCTTGATATTAGCTGTACTAATTAGATCATCTTTTCTAAATTAGAGTGCAGTTTTCTTAGCAGGTTTCCTTTTATCTGGTGTTCATTTTTCAAAAGAGCTTCATGTTCTTCCCACAGATGAGTGAATCATTTCCAGGGAATCATGTTACGCAAAAGATGTTTTTCTTGCTGCTGTAGAATGCCTATGGGTAGATCATAGATCTCCTTGAAATTGTTAAATATTTTGAAGTTGGACTTTCCTCAACAATCATATGTTCCTTGACTAGATGAGCATAACTGCATCTGGGATGAAACTCAGTCCCTACAACAAAGTAGCACGTTACTATGTCAGAACAATCCCACTCCAACACAATTTATTTTACTGACACGGGAAAGCACAAAATGAAAGTGGCTGAAATACATTTATATACCTGAACATGCAAGAGTATTTTTTTGCATTCTTTCTTTAGCAGTTAACTGGTGCTCCAGCACTGAAAGCCATTCTGTCTCCTCCATCAAAATATTACTTTCAAAAGATTTCTAAGGAAATGATGACCATGTTACTCCAGAGGTCCTCATCTAGGTTACCTTAAACATTTAACTTATCGTAGCTCAGGTAGTTTGCAATAACCTTTCTGGTCAAGCAAAGCCTGAATTTCACATCTCTGCATAACTAGCCCAAAAATTTCTGAAAAACTATCCGTGAAATCTCAGGCTATTTCACCTGAGTGTGGTGCTCCTGGTTACAGAGAGAAACTATGAGAATATCCTCTCTTGGTGATACTCGGTACATCCATCTAGTTCAAAATACTAACAATCAACTGTGATGCTGGACATTAACAGGATAAGAACAGGTTATTGTTTTTCTCTGAACAAGCCTATTCAGCTCTCTGGAAAGCAGTACTTACGTGTCGACAAATCTCCTGTTGAGGTTTGAGATGACAACTGGAGATCCAGACTGGAAAGGAGGGTCCCGAACCACTTTGTACTGGATGGGTTTGCAGTCAGCACACAGTGTGCTGTAGGGGACAGAGCTCAGCATTGCAGCATCAATTTCCAGGTGCTCATCCAGAGTATAGATCTGGATCCCGTACACCTCCTCACCCACTTGTCCTGCATCCAGCTTTATGGTCAATGGGATGTCGCAGAAAACGTTCTGTGGCCCAAGAGAAATATTCTTCCCGCTGATGGTGAGCAACTTGATATCATTCACCGCTCCACTGGAGTCCCAGTCTGGGGAAACAAATGTCACCCAGACTGTGAGGGACTCTGGAGTCAGGGGATAATGAAATTCCAGTTGCAGGTAGCAGCCCTGAGGCTCGGGACAGGCTGGGGGCACTGTGTGTTGGTTGACTGCCGAGTTGGGACTCCATGTTCTGACACTGGATTTACAAGGCTGTTCAACATCAGGGTGCCCTGGAAAGAAATAAGGAAGCAAAGATAGGGCACAAAAGAAATTAGAGAATGTGGGTTATCATCGGCAGCAGTTTTGAAAGACAAATCAGTGGCAGGAGAGCATATCTGTCCAGGAAACTAATTATTTACTTGAGCAGAACAGGCATTGCCAGCATGAAGAGGAGGAATATAACACCAATGTCTTCTGGCCAGGTGAGAGACACAAACCCAGTTTAAGTGTCCAGCTGGACTGGACACCACACAACACACACTGTGCCAGCACTGTATTTCCTATTTCTAGTGCCTTCCTCTGTGCCAAACAATGATTTTCTACCCCTTCCACTTGGTACTTTACCTGATAAACAGAGTCACTTTGCCTTCTAGTTTGCCTCCATGCTCCTACTTATTCCCTTGCCTCTCACTCTAAAATACAACCTTTCTCTCTTTAACAAAGACAAGAAAAGAGCTTTTTGTTGATTCCGAGAAGCTATTGCACTGTGCTGTTGAGGGGCAACTCCTATACCATTTACAGGCTAATCTAGCATGTTGTACCAGACCCCTTTTTTTGGAGGCACATGGAGCATAGGTCTGAGCTGTCTCTTTGCGTTCACTGTGACAAAACAACAGGCACTTGTACTTTTACATTTCTCACCGCTGGCTATGTTCAACTACATGGGAGGTATTACTAAAAACTAATGAAAGCCACAATGCTTGCTGGGTTCCCAAATACTATGGTAACGTTACAATTTGGCACGGAGTCATGGACTGCAAGATCCAGAGAGGTCAGATGGGTGGAACAGTTGGTAACAGAATCCAGTGCGAGCTATAAATTCCCTCATCCTTCCCAAGTAATCAGACGGAAAGGGAGCAAGCAGGACAGGGAGAAGGGAAAGCACGGAAAAGAAGAAAGGGAAAAGTAAAGATAAAGAAAGGTAACGAGAGGAGAGAAATGGAGAAGGCAGAGGGGAAAAAAGAGAGCACAGCTGTTTGCAACTGAGGAAGAAAGCAAGATAAAGCACTAGGCAAACATGAACAAACAGGACATCACTACTAATTTAAAGAGAAAAGGGCAATGTGTGAAGGTTATTCTTACTGTCTGTGATCCAATGAAGTGTTAGACATGTGCCTCTTTTGTCAAGGATAAACAGCACGGGGAATTCTCCTGTTCATACCAAATGAACCCAGATGCAGAATAAATTTCCTGGTATCTCAGGCAGTCCTCCCCACGATCCAACACAATTGTCCTGCAGATGCACACCTTTGAACGCTTCTCCCTCACCCGCACATACCCCACAGCCCTCCTCTCCTCCTCGCATGCCTCGGAGTAGCAGGAATGCCACTAGCCTCAGCATCTGGAGAGACCACAGCAGCGATATATTTTGAAGAAAGCCAGAGTTCCATTTAACACGCTCAAGTCTTTACCCCCCTGGCAAGCTTGCAAGTGCTGTGTATGATCATTCTGAGTAGCAAATACCCCATTCGACTCGCGTTATCTCACACCATTCGCTGCTGTCCGCGTGTGCTTGGCTGGGCTCTCCAATGACTTTCTCGCAGACTCACAGCAAGCTCCTGACCGCAGCCCTAAGAAGGTGTTTTTAACCCTAGTATCTCAGTTGGCTTTGGAAAGAGCTGGGAATCTTACTGCTGCCACCTCGCAGATAGGAAAATGGGAGTTGATTAATGGCTCACAGCCTAGTATGTTTTCAAAAGTGGTCTCTGCTGGGGCTCCTGCAAATTCATCTCTATCAGTTTCAAGGCCTCTGTAAGACTTAAACAGTGAATAAACCTACATGTTTTGGTAGATCAGGGTGTGATCCCTGGAGTTACGTGAATTGGACTCAGCCTCCAGGGAGTTTAATGCGGATATTACCCCAAAGTGGGAGCTTGATTGTAGTCATCCATAGACTAAAAACCTCAATGAAGTTGAGATAAAGAGACCTTTTCTCAAATATCATCAAACACCGAGCCCTGGGTAAGAAACATTGATTTTGTTGTGAAAGAGGATGGAAATCTTATTCCACGTAAGTCTAGATTTCTAGAGATGGGTAAATACTATCAAAATTACAAATATTTATATATAAAAAGAAATGGTGTAATAGTAATTCTGGCCCTGTGCACTCAGGTTCTGAAAATCCTTTGGCTTATGAGTTCATCAGCAAGACTGGTCATAGAACAGCATCTCATACAACATCACGTCTTGCCTAACACAGAATGTGAATGTGAGGTTTGTGAGGATAAGCCAAACCCCATCTCTGGTTAGAGAACAGGGAGGGCAGGCTGGAAAGGAGGCTTCCCCCAAAACATCGGCCACAGCCACAGCCTGGTGCATCAACACAAGCCTTCATCATGCAGTTTCATGAAGTGGCTGGCATGAATGCCCCTCCGTTGCCCTGGCACATGGACAGAGACTTGACACACCTGTATGGGGAGGCCAGCTGCGATCAGCAGCCTCTCGGGATGCAGCCACTGTCACAACTACAACTCACCTGCCACATTTCTTAGGTGGTCAAGACAGAGGAACCATCCAGTGGGACTCTAATGCCCAACTGAGTCAATTCCACTTGCAAATACAGAATCAATCACTCTTGAGTGAAATATTGGGCACTGGGAAAGCCAGAGCACTAGAGCAGCCTATGGCAGCAGAATGTTTTATTATATTCTTACACTTCTCTCAGTCAATAGTGAGCCAAGTGGTAGGAATTGACTGATATATGCATATATTGCACAGTAAACAAAGGTACTTACTTGGGTTTGAGTCAAAATCACCTTTCATATATAAACCTCTCCCTCGACCGAGTTGTGGAGGTGCTGTAAGGTTTGTTTGTCTAGCTGGTGTTGCTGGTGAGAATCTAGGTAGGTTAGAGCTTTCTTGCGCTACGGTGAAGAGTAAATCAGAACTGCCTGATCTCCAGTGCCCTTCCACAACCACTGCCAAGGAGCAAACAGCCCCTCATGCAAGGCACAACTAGCTGAGAAAGAATCACAAAATATCTCAGCCCGAGGGGTTGGACCCCACCACGCTCTGTGCAGGCAGGGCACTAGGAAGGACATGGTCCCCACGGCAGAGGTTTGCAACGGGCACAGCTCACACGTTGTCCAGACCACAGCTGGTGTCAGCTGCTTGGGGCAACTGTGCAGTGTAACAATGCTATGGGACCTCAGGAAAATGAAGTCAGACCAACCAGGTACAGAGCTCCTTCAGAGACACGTGAGAAATGTGGTTTTCTGGTAAGAAGATGGATGAGTACTACGAAACATTTTCCACGAGTGTTGTCTCAAATTTTAAAATGAGTTCATTTTGGCCATGCTTATGCCTCTCCTGTATTCACTTTCCACAAACATTCAAGCAGTGGAGTTTTACACACATGAACGCTTGCAGAAAGTGAATTTAAAGCTTGCATGCTTGAGTACTCACAGATAGACAATTAAAGAAGCCAGACAATGATCTAACTGTGCTATTTGTAACTCAGACCAAGTGCAAATAGGCAGAGATCCTGAATGTCAGGGAGTGCGGTAGTGATGACAGAAAATTACAGAGCAATAAATACCATACACTTGGTCTATTTTCTACCTTAAAGTGGAGACAACTTATTAACGTAGTAAGAGGATAGGATTCCCAAATTTTCTTTCCAGAGCAATGGCACAACAGCAACCGAATGAGACAGATAAGGATCAGACTGCACCCTTCATAGTTAAGAACGTGCAGGCACACACTGTAAGAAGAGGAAATTAAATGCAAAACGCAGCTGAGTAATAAATCTTAGAGTAGCTTAGTTTCTCTAGGAATGATGCCGCTGGCAAGATGTGTGAGATCTAGAAGTTTTCAAATCAGAGCTCGTTGGAGAAATTTTGACGGAACTGCGTATCTCAATGGAATATGCAGTTCTTTCAAAAGAAAGAACTGTCTTTGCAAAACACTGAAAAATTTGGTTTATTTGGCCAAAATTTTATTCTGGAAGAGAAAACGGGAAGAAAGTTCTAACAATAGTGGAACATTGTGTTTTGACATTTTTGGAACAAATTTTACTTTTGCACTTTGAAACACTTTTCATTTTGATATTAAAAGTCGCTTTTGCCCTAGATTATATACTAAAAGAGGATATTTTCAAATGTCGTAATTTAACCGAAGTTCACGGAAGAGGAATCAGATGAGCTAAACAAAGCATTTGGGCCAGCCTCAAACACTTTTTGTTTTTAATTTTCCTTCACGGAGAATTTCAAAAGTTTCAGGTTTTGTTCCAAACGAAACCAGGTTTCAAAGTCTTGTAATCCTTGGCTAAGTAGAAATTCCACCTTCCACCCTGCACTACTACTGCAAGCGATCCAAGCTTCACTACTCCTATTTACTTGATAATCCAGTCACACTTGTAGCCGGAGTGCCGTTTCCCAGGACGGAGCTCTTGAACAACATCCACCCAAGGGGCAGATGTGCTCTGCGCTGTGCCCGGCACCCTTGGCCCTTGGATGTCCAAACTGGAGGGGGTGAGTTGGAGTGAACCACAACCTCTGTTGGGCCCCCACCCTGGGAGATGGGTGCATGGGGCAGAGGATACTTGCCTACACATCTTATCCCATCATGCGGCGGGGATGTAGCTTGCTGCACATGCCGACTTTAGGACTAGGGAGGACTCCTGGGTGCCAGCACTGCATAGATCACCATATTAGCTTACAAATACTCTTCCTCATAGAATAACTCCCACGTACCCTAGCTGCAGGACAGAGAAGCCCTTAATGTAAGGAGGTGTTTGTATAAGGAGTTTGCAAAATCCAGGGATTGGCCTTTGAGTTCAGTGAGCCCACCTGTGTGTTTACAGTGAAGTCTGGGCCCAGAGTGTGCTGCTCCCAAAGGAAAAGCTCGTGATAGACAGATTGAAATAATATTCTGCTCTTTCCAAACCGTAATTTGTGATTACTGACCTCTGCCTGGTGTAATCTTAGATATGCTCTACCAAATCCACCTACTTACGTAATGGAAGGTAAATATGGAGGAGAGTTAATGATGGAGATATAACGGCATTGTACGACCAGCTCCGCAGACCATTCTCCCTCCAACATGCTCGAAGAGAAGCAGTAAGAATGACCTGCAAAACACCCTGAACTGGACAGGGCTTGACGTAGTCACCTGCGTTCATGCTGCAGAGTACTTGCCCAAAGGGCAATCTCCTTTCAGCCTGTCTGCTGGTACAGCCCACCCCTATTCAATGCAAGTGAAGGTAGCAGCAATCAGGCCCAAATAAATAACATGCAATTCGTCACTTTTGGAGTTGGAGTAGAAGGAGTAAACAGCTCCTCTGAGGAATTCATCTGGCAGATGTGAATGGTCGGCATTTCTTGGCACTCTGCTGCTTTCCGAAATTCAGGTTCAGCTCCCGGCATTCATTTAATTCATGGGCAAGGTCAGAACACGGAGGCCAAAACACAGGTATTTCAGCCAGTGGCATTACTTCAGGGTACAGTATATTCATCTGTCCTCTAGTTTTTTTCATGCTACATACAGGTATAATCAGTCACTCTCTCCCAGGTTTTCCCCCTGTCTTTATGGCTCTCCTTCTGCTCTGGCCGATCTTCTACCCCGTCACGTCTTTGTCCCCAGCCCTGTGACTCACCTTCCGCTTCCCGGGGGCTCCAGTGCCCCGAGGGATCGCAGGGCATCGGAGAAGAGGCGCTGAAGGCGTATTGTACCAGGACTCTTCCTTCTGCACACAGATCACATGCTGATCCCACTTCTCTAGGAGGCCAGGAAAACAGGAAAACACACCAACTTAGTAACAGCTGAATGAGCTGCTTATTCAACTATATTAAAAGCAATAAGACTTAGAATTCGGTTCCACTTAACCCTCTTTTCTAAAGGCACTGACAAGAGTGTTTTCTGACTCTGACCTTCTGTAGGTTTGGGCTAACAGCCTGTGTAGATGGCATCTGTGAGTCCGCCATCCAACACAAAATGACAGCAACCTGTGAAATCACGCCTAGCTAGATCTTTTTTTTTTTTTTTCCCCTGCTCTACAACTGGATCAAACCCTGACAAAAGAAAACACGTGCTGTTTAGTCGTTAAGAGCAGAGAAACTGGTCTCAGGAGATTTCAGATCTATTTCTGCTCCCACCATGGATTTATTGCTTGAACTTGCAGTAACTTCAGGATTGTGAAGGCCTTGGGCTTAGTGGTGGTTAGAGGAGAGGGTAAAGTCCCAAGCTCTAAGAACATCAGAAAGAGCTGCTCTGTGAAGCATGGCTTTGCTAAGTATGCAAGGACCTGCTTCTGGAGGTGTATCACAGCCCAGATCACTAAAGGCCTGGAAAAGGCGTGGCTTATGAACATACAGAAAAGAACATGTCCCTAACCCTTTTTGCAGGGGAAACTGGACTCGATACCTGGCAGCTTTGGCACCAGCGGATGGCTTTTTCTGAACTAGAACCTCTTACGGCTCCATGCCATCAGATGGCATGACGTGGCATTAAAAAAGGCATTTCATTGCCCAACGCCAACATTCACCTACAAATCTAATACCACCTACTGCCACCAAAGTAGCATCGGCAGAAGTGGTTGAACAGGAAAACCCAGTTAAACACTGATTCACAAATATTTTTGCTAATACATTCACAAGATCAGGGTTTAAGCTAATGCAGACTGGAGTAACTCTAATATCTTCCATAACTTTAAGCTGTTTTATATCAGCTGAGGATGCAACTCACACAGTTCAGCCCTACATTTCTTGAGGTCACAAAATTCGGAACTGTGTATGACCCAGAACATGTGGTTATTCATCCCAATAAGTTGGTTCTTATTGAGAATTCATTGTTCTGCTTTAAGGAACACTGCCTACTCAAAATGAAAAGAAAACATTAATTACCGTAATGATCAAATGCACCTAGGAAAGGACAGAAGTTTTAGGCAAACAATTTGTGCGTAACACACAGTGTACTCTCTAAGCTACCCAAGTAAGTATGGATTGCATCATCAATTATTATAATCAGCTATGCAAATTTTAACCATCTCCCATTGTGTGATTTATTTCAGCACTGCTTTGTGAAGGGCACTGTGATCCTCAGGCAGAAGTTATTTTGGATCCTCAGCAAGGACAACGGGACTGTAAATTTACTCTCACAGCCTTTCCAGGCTGTGCAATCTCCCTTCGCTTTGGTGGTAGGGACGACACACGCTCAGCTGCTCCACAGCTTAGCATGTCCTATTTGTTGACAGGGATCTATTTGAAAGTCAATTTTCTGTTGGCTTAATTAGGCGGAAGCAGGGATTGTCAACAGGGGGGACTTGGAATGAAATTGGTGGTAAAACTTGTATCCATTTCAATATGGCCCACAGCCACCCCTACAAAGCGATGGCAAATGACTGAACTCGCAGATAGTGCAGAAAGGGATACGCCTGATGGACACATCTGAAGAATAAAATGTGGCAATGGGGTAGAATAAAGAAGAGGGGAGCAAAGGTGCCCTCGTCTTCCTTGTATGATCTGTAATGCTGGTAATGAACAAATTTGGGCATGTTGCAAATAACCTCTCTCTGTCTCACTTCACCCACCTGCACTATTGGTATGACACTGCCTCCCTCTCTCATTTCTTAGCTGTCTACGTAGCAGTGGTTTAAGTGTCTAACTTGGCTTGCCTAACTAACATATGTAAAAAGATGCAAGAATCCAGAAGAAAAGGTATTGAGAAATCAAAACGTCGAATTGTTATTGTACAGTTGTTTTACAGACACATCCACCAACAGTCAGGATAGAAGTCCCTGCAATAATAATCTTTCGGTTTCTCTAAAAAGAGACTCCTGCATTAGCGCTTGGTCCTGGATGAGGACTGGGCTGTGAAAGCCAAGTTTCCACAATTAGGACTGCTTTTTACTCAAATTAGCAGCTATACAATTTCATCACAGGCTGCCATGGTGGAAAAAACTGTAGGCTTATGGACAAACATTTCCTTTTACCAGCAAGGACTTGGAGGTAAGAGAAATCACAAGGAGCATCATGTGGGAAAGGCTATGAGCAAACTTTCTCTTTTTACTTTTCCAGTTTGGGAGCCAAACTCAACCCTGATGTAACTCCACTGGCTGAAAGGAGTTACACAGGGGATGACTCCTGGGTTAAAGTTTTTGGTTTGCAGACTCTCGCACACAAATCCTACAAACAGTCATAAATGTCACAACTAATTACGGAATCACATTTATAGGCTTATGAAAATCGAAGCCAGATCCTTACACCTTAGGCAGCCACGGACATCAAGACAAAATGAGTGTAAATCGGTTCAAAACACTATTAATTAGGAACGATAGCATATCTGACACCTTATACACCGGTGCACATGACTCCCCAAAGTGCAGGGTAATGGAAAATCTAGACTTTTCTGTTTTCTAATAAGCCAAATACTGGGGAAACTCCAGCTTATGAAGTTCAGAGCGCAGGAGGAATTCATTCCTACGGCATGATATTTCAGTGAAGCGGATTCAAAATCTAGAGATTACTAGTGAAAAACAGACAATTCTCTTCAGGGCCAGCACCAGTTCAGTGGGCAACTCAAAACCAGTAAAAATCTGTCATTCCTTTCCGTAAAGAGTGCCTGTTTTCAGACTAAATTGTAACTGCTTACTTGAAATTCAGAATTGGTGCTCTCCCCTCTAAGACACTGAAACTTTCCAGCAAGGTTTAAACAAGCGATTATCAAGCCCAGCCATCTAGATCTGGGACACCACGCTGACCAAAATATTTGCCTGCTAAGAATGAGATAGCATCAGATTCATGGAAATTAATGCAGTCACCTCAATGAAAACTTGGAAGAGCAGATGCATTCAAAGTTTTCTGTCCAAGCAGAATTTGCTGCAGAGCCCTATTACAATAACTGTTTACATCCTGCCTACGCATATCAAACAGGAGGCGCATGAATGGATGCTTAGCGACAGCAGATGAACGCATCTAATAGATGCAGTCAGGAAATGAATAGAGTTTTCTTTTTCTCACTTGTTTTCACTTGTTTTGTTGGCTCTATTATTATTTTATTATTACATATTATTATATGCGCATGCGACATTTTTCATGCTTTTTTTAAATTGGAGGATGGAGAATGGTAAGTATTGCAATCCAGTGTGTAGTAGCTACAAGAAGAAATGCTGGTTCTTGATGTATTTGATTATGAGAGATGTTTAGAAGCTCAACCAGCTGCCGGAGTTTAGGGTCAAACACATGCTTGCAAATTTATGTCCAGGTAAATGACTCTCTAGAGTAATATAGCAGACATCAACGGAACACACTGAACAGCTAAGGAGGGTCTGTCAGGAAGAAGATTGTACTTCTGCCACAGCTCATGTATCTACTCTTGCCAAGGTGTTGAGGATATAGGATAGCCAGCCCCAAATTCACAAGAACTATGAGTTAGCATTACTCTCTGTCCCCAAAGCCACATAATTAATCATGTAATTCCTAGAACTGAGGCCCTGTGAGAAAAGCACCTAATACTGTGGCACCTGTGACAAAGTTGTATCTAAGCAGGGAAAAGGCACTTGGTCTTTACTTCCACACTTCATCCCCCTGCAACCACAGACCTGTCAGGACCTCACCCACAGGTACAGCCAGCCCAGCGTTACATTTTTAAACGCGAGGTTAAATTTTCCCTTCCTGACCTTCATTAAGCAGAGGTCAGTGCCTACGCACAGCTCTAGAGAATAAAAGGGACATAAAAGGAACTTGAGTTACACTGAGTGCGCCTACAGTAGCATTGTAATTTGGATCAGGAGTGAGCTTCTGAAGTGAAACTCTTCATCTTCCTTAGAGCACTCGGAGCAGTCCTGGAGCATAGAAGCTGGACCCAGTTTTGCCCGAAACCAGAGTGGAGATGTGCTCCAGGACCACACCTGATGTGTTCCAACTGCTGATGCCATGGGGCCAGGCTAGAGCTAGGCTGAAACAATCCCCCAAACCCCTATGGTGTTGACGTCAGGTCTTCATTAACAACTGTTTTGCGCTACAGATCTACTTATATTGGGCCACAATACTTGCTAATGTAGCCAGAGCCATTCATCCTTTTAAGGCCCTTTTACACTGTCAAAACAGCATGGAAGGGGCCTCTGTGCATTAGAAACCAGGCCCAAGGCACCCAGCAGTTGAGTATCAGTCTTCTGTTTTTTACATGAATAGTCTCATTGAAGTAAATGAGTTTATTCATTCAAGTGAGGCAAGTAAAATTTGGGCCATGGTGTGCACTTTGTGTAAAAATATCTGCAAAGATTTACAGTATTCCCACACACAGATAAGATTATACTTGGCCAATTTTACCTCCTACTCGTCTTGCACAGTGACCCAAATTTACAAATTGACACAGGTCTGTATCTCTAACCAGGCAGCACTGGACACATTGGTACTGGAAGTTCAGCACGTGAGCTTTTCCAGTGTTAGTCACTCCAATACTACTATCATCCTTGTTTTGATTAATATATTAGAAATTTGAGTATGTTTTAGACAGGATCGTTTATATATTTCAGTGACATTTTTAAATGGTCACAGCAACATTTCTGTATCTGTTAGCACTGGGAATCTCGTTTTAACAAGGAATTGGACTCAAAAGTATTTGAGGCTGTCTCTTTAAATCTCTTCAGTAATACTGATCACACAGATTTGAAAACCCAAAGGACTTTTTTTTCCTAGAAAATCACTATTTATTTAACATATGATAACTCTGTTACGAAATTTTAGATTTAGCACGCTATCCACTGTATGTTATTCAAGAAGCAACTAACTAGGGGTTATTAAGAACATATTGATCGAGTTATAAGAAATATGTAATAAAGACATATTTGGTTACAGAACAATTAACTCTGCATCAATGTGCTTTAAGAGGCAGATGGTATTTATTTAACACACAATAAGTATTTTCTGAAATCTAAATTAAATTGGAGAAACTTAATTTACCTAAAAATGATTACGGGCTAAAAATTTTGAATTAATTTTCAGAACTTCAATAAGTCCTTTTCACACGCAGGGAATAAAAGGATTCAGTTGCAAAACTGCAATTAAAGCAAACACTGTTCAGAGCACAAGACCTCTCTTTATCAACTCCTAATATGATTTGATTGCCCTCCCTGAATTAATCTGCAATAAAGGTGGAAAATCTCATCTGAGCAGAAAATAACAGCTCTCTGCCTAACTCAGATAAAGTGCAAGCTGACCACTGAAATGGCCGTGGTGTCCTAGCAGTGCTGGAAGGAGTTTCATCCCTGATGGAGGCAGTGGCTTTCAAGGTGCTCTCACTGAACAAAGCAGCAGTGCTGAGACAGCTCTTTGGGTGTTAATATGCTTGTAAATTTGGCCTCCTGTGATACGTCCTGCTATAGTCCTGAAGGACGCTCAAAGTTTGTTGTCTATAAAATAACAAAGCAAAAAGCGGAGAAGAAATGCAAACAGGGAAGGTGAGTTAATGGTAACGCGAGAAGGTCAATCATTTAGGAAGTTCTCTGCTACGACTCCTATAGCTCCTGCGGCTCATCCAAGCTCTCCATAAGAGTACTTAGATGAACCACCTCATTGCTCAGGTCATCATGGGGTAGAGTTGCTCCAGCAACTGCAATGCCGTGCAACTGTCGTCCGGAGCCCTACATTCCTTTAATTTTTAGTTATTGGTACCACATAGCTGCATGCCTATCAGACACAAACACACACACATACTCTGACCTACATGCTCTACTCAGGGTGCAGCAAGACGACACTTGCATGATATTCAGGGTTTTAGGTCTTTGACTCTGCCTTGCTCAACTCCCATCTCAGATCTGCAGCTCAGGGAAGGAGGCAGCATTTGTCCCTCTCCCCAGCCCTGCCACCTTCTTGCCCAGTGAGACTCCACTGCCCATGAGCTCTGTGTTGTCACGGGAGTAGAAACAAGATTCACTTTGTCTTTGCAAAGGAAACGTGCAAGAGGAGGAGGAGGGAACGTGCAGGCAGAGCTGAAGCCTGCAGGTATTTGTGAGCAGCAATAACAGAATCAGAATTGTTGATTGAAAATTCCTCCTGTAACATATGGAAAAAGATTTGCCCTTTACATGGGAAATCAATGGCCCTCAACTGAGTGCTACAGGCTGAGAAAGGAAGAGCAGAAAACAGATCAATAACCCCCTCAGTATGAACCAATTTAGGAAAGAGCCTTAATCCAGACTGAGCACAGCACATGATAAAGCTGTGCTCCTGGAGTGGGGTCCCAGGTTGTTCCCCTATTTCTCCCCTTTCCATTCAATTCAGTGCAAGAATAGAGAGCAGCACGTGATCACCTTTCAAAAAAGTGGCCATCAATGGGTGGAAACCATTCCAGGGTGACAGAGGCAGAGGTCCGAGCCACAATCTGCGGGGCAATTGCAATAGGAGCTGGTTTCTTCGTGGGCTGCCAGCTCTGATAGACGAGGTCCAAGTAGCAGTGCATCCTGGCCACTTGGTTGGGTGTGAAGGAGTCAGTGCAGTCATCGTCTGAAATTAAAACACAAGCCACATCAATCACGCGGGAGATAAGGTGGGAACAAGAGAGAGAATTACGACCCAGTGAATGGCAGCTTCTTGCAAGGGCCAGGGTGGGTGCTCACAGCACTCAAAAGTTAATGGTCTGTGAACAAATTAGGGCAGTCGTCGCTTGTGGAGGCAGGTAAAAGGAAATAAAAATTTAAAAAGAAAAAACTGATCAGTCAACGTTCCCTCCCTCTGGGCCAGGATATATATGAAACACCTAGAGATCATCCCTAGATGAGACAGAGACACATGGAGGTGAAGAAACAGAAAGCCTCAGTGCAGCACCTTCTGGTCAGAATTGGGGCTACCAGTGGACCTCTGGGCTTAAAAGAATTTCACGTCTAAAAGAGTATCCCTGAGAGAGGATAAAAGGGCAAAGGACAGCTAGTGTTAGGATAAAGCATTGACTGAGATTCATGCAAACGGTGTGCAATAGAGTTTGACAGGTTTCTCAGATTAAAAGAACACAGACTTTTAAAAATACAAATTTTTTTAAAGTTCTTAAATTTTCTAATGAACAAACAAAAATGTTCTGAAAGATCAATTTAAAAAAAAAATCATTACAATCACTGATTAAAGATGTAAATCTTTGGTGCAGTAAAATAACTTTATTTCTATTTAAAAATGTCCCCCATTACCATTATGATTCTAACCCCTTTCTGAACTTTTCAAAAATATTTTTGACATTTTGAATTTCTTTTTCATTCAAATGGAGAAGTACTTTTGCTGGATAATTTCCCATAAATATCCTTTTCTTATTTCATCTGTTTTCCCTAAACATGATTTGGCAATAGGAACACATCTAGTGCCCTCTGAACACCATACAACTTTACAACTACAATGCCCCGGAGAAGTAGAAAATTACTATTTCTCTATTGTGCAGATCACAGAAGGAATAAATATGTTTGTGCAAAGCCACCCAGAAAAGCTACGCTGAAGAACTTGATGCTAGCACTTTAACCAATTTTCTGGTACTCTTCCCATCAGATGAGAAGCTCTTGAAATACAGAGTGTTTCTTCACATGTGCCTGCAGAGTTCCTAGCCCAGTAAAGCTCAGTCCCAGATGGGACCTCCGCCGGCTGCTGCGATACAAACAACAATGACAGCTTTGCACAGGTCAAGTAATACACTTTTCTGGGAAGACGCAGGTCACCGGAGGCTGTTCAGAGAGCTGCTTGCGTGCGTGCAAGTTGGCAGTTCAATATTGTAATAGCGTTACTAGATGCTCTGATGTCTTCAAGTCCTTGCCCTGTGGAACTCAAGAGGAACGAAAAAATATGAATTCATTCTAAAGAGAAGTGTGAATTTGCTGGCTAATTTAAAACCTTACCACAGCTTCCCTGAGAGGCAAGCAAAAGGAGACAGCTTTGGTTGGGATCCTGCTCAGACTATAGCCCCAAATGCAGTCCTAGCGCATTTGCAAATGCAGTAAGGACACGTCAATTCACATGTTCTCCTGCGTCTCTCCTAACTCCACCGAGCAGTGAACCTCGTCTTATCAAACATGCATAGCAGATAGGCAGACACCACCAGCTTGAAAATATCTACAAATCCCTGTGGGTATGCAAAAAGCTGCTTTAATATGACATCTCTGGATTTCCTCAATAATTATCAATGGTCTATCCCTAAGCATGCTGTAAAAGCCATAAATATTCTTCACGGAAGCACAGAAGGAGACAAAGGCCCTTAATAGCCACCATAAAGGAACAATAAAATATATATAGGACAAAGCTGTGAGACAATGGCAGTGGAGAAAGATGACCTGCATTCTCAATCTGTTTAAACATCAGCACAGGCTGTGTTCTGGGGGAGGGGAAGGGAGAAGAGGCGAGGGAGAAAGGTATTTCACTTGATCACTTGATTTCTAGAAAGGTTCAAGATCCTCAGATGAAGAAATAATTAGAGAAAGTCCAGAGACTTTGCTGAGATGATTATTCCAACTGGATTCAAAGGCAGCTTTCCTGCTTATTTAATGAAGAGTCATCTAAAAGACAAACTTCTCCTTTTATTTGGGAACGCCACGGCTATTTGGACTTGTAAAACTAATTTACGAGTCCAATTTCTCACACTTCTCAATCTTCTGGACATTGTAACTTGCTATTTCAGGGAAAGAAAAGTTACCCTTTAAGTCAGTGCTCTGCTGCAGACCTGGGGGTAAGGTAACTGGACAGATGGATGTTCGATAGACAGACAAACACAGTATGTTCAAGCTGTACACAAGCAGCAAAAGAGAAAGGAAAGAAAGGCAATGTTTAGAGCTGCGTGACCTCAACCTAGACGTTTCAAAGGTATTTCTACAGCAATCTGATATCCTGCTATATTTTTATGCTACTGGCAACAACAGAAAAGCAAACAGATTCATGCATGAGCTCTAGAGATATCTATCATGTCGCTTCACTTAATTTTTCAAGGAAAAAAAAAAAACAACGGTTTTGCTCAGAACACCAGCACATATGTAGCTCCCAAGAGCAGATAAGTATCTCTCTGGTCTGCCTCTCTGTCTCAGCTCTTGAGAGAATTGGCAAGGCAAGCTCTCTTTGGAAGAAGAGATCTCGGCGTTTTGAAACAAGCATGCTCCACCCCTCGTCACATCCACACAAGCAGATTTGGTGGAGGGATATTGTCATCTAAAATGGCACTGACTGATTTGTGTGATGTTACCAGGAGGCTGTATCAGGCAGCAAGACTCACCAAAGTGCACAACACGCCGAGGAGCTGACTTGGTGCGTGTATGCCTGACCCTGAAAACACCCTCTAAACAAATAGACAAATAAAGAGAAAACTAAGCATCACTTTTAGCTAGTGCCATGAAAGGCACAAAAGCATTTCTGTTATAAATCATTTCAATCTGTGCCCCAGATGACATTAAACACTTTGCTTCCATACAGTTTTATTACAGAATAAAGGCTCTTATGACCTTTTGAGTGGGCAATCTGTGGTTTCGCCTGGAGTATAAAGGTGCCCTTCAGTGGCTATAAGGATATTTGTCACCTTTAAAATGTTGTTGATGCTGTCAGCTCTATGTCACAGACCTTCATGGTGGCTAGACCCTGTGACCCAAAATAACGGGAAATATGAGGCAAGGTATCCCCTCTTCTTTCTAGGAAATGACAGAGGACCCTTGAACTTCCAGGGGTGCAGCAAGGACCCCACCTCACCCTCGTCTGATGGGCAAGGGTCACAGGAGCTCACACGCTTTTTGTGTTATGCTCTGTTGGTAGAGTGCCACGAACCGGCACCCCTGAGCAACACAGCTGCGCCTACGGAAGCCGGCGGAGTTGTAACTACACAACCAGGCTTTTGCTTAATCGGCTTATTCCTCCTGGAGGGGTGGTTTTACCACACTGATATGGAGCCTTTGTAGTTGCCCTCCCAGCAAAAACCAGCACAGCACACTGGGAGTCTGTGAGCAGAAGAGCAATCCTGATCCAGGTACCATCCCAGTATTCACACTTTAATGACAAAACTCAGACGTGAGTGATTCTAGCTGAACCACAGTGACTCCAAATCTAACAATAAACATGGTATTTGAATGGACATCTGGAGGAACGAGCAGCGTCTCGTTAGATGTCTGCCTATCACAGGTTTATCGTACAGTTCTGGTGGTATCAATATTCCTCTGACGTCCAATACCTCCTTGGGAGAGGGTAAACAATCTCTGAATTTGTGTTTTTCAAAGAAGACCTCATAGATCAGGCATCCAGATCCCAGGGAAATAGGGTGTCAAATTTGCTGTAGAGCCTTCAGAAGCTGTTTTCTTAATGCTTATCTCATTTCTTCCCTCCCCCAAACCTTCTGCCTGGTCTTCACATGAAAGTATGTAAAGTTGGGGAAAATTGGGAAAAAAGAACAGGAGAACTGCAAGGGATTCCTGAGGCCATCAAGTCTGATCGCTCATCAAGCCTGGTCGTAAACCCATGGACACACATGTCACCAGAAAGCCCCCCAAGAAATGGACTGTAGAAGTCAGAGGTAACACTGCTATTCTTTGTTCCTGCCCAACCACAGACACCACCAGCAAACCGAGGAAACGCAAGTACCTGCGTAGCTCATGAAGTTACTGAACGGCGTGTTTAGGAAATTGTGAAAACCGCATGTGTCATTGCCAGGTCCAGGATCCCCACACAGCTTGTGCTTAGGAGCAGGGTTGGTGTCACTGCAGAGGTCCCCAGTCTCGAAGGAGGGCTCAGTTTCCATGCACGGATCGCTGCAGGAGAGGATCTCTGAGATTCCCCGGAAGACGTGATAGAGCCCCAGGCTGTGCCCAATTTCATGGATCATTGTGTGCGTGTGGCCAGGGATTCCATAGAAGGAGGGATTCAGCACAATGCCACCTGCAAGGGGAAAAGGGAATAGTTTCTACGTTTGCCTTGTCCTCCTCAGAACAGCAAGAGAAAGGGAAAGGAAGACAATCCTAAGGGCAGATCCACTGAGAGTTCACCGGATCCTCTACAGCACAGTCTGCTTTTGGCACAATCAGGCACATTGATCGCTCAGAGAAACAGCATGGCAAGGTTTAATCGCACCCTTAATCTGGGGCCCTAAGGATGAGGAATCGTGGGACAAAGCTGAACGTCCTAAACCAAAAACACAGTGACAAGCAGTCTGAATATGCTCAATTTGGTTTGTTTGTTAACTTGGAGAAAAATCCTACATGCAGTTACTTCATACTACGCAATTTCAAATAATTTAATGTGCTTAAAGAGAATGATTCTGCCCAGATAAGTATAAGCAATGTATGTGATACCAAGCATCAAACAAAATACACCTGGAACGCTCTCTGTATATTATTCCAGAGGGTAAAGATACAATAGAAGCCTATTAACTTCTGAGACACCCTAAAAATTGCAGTAGGTTGCACCAATATTTGCAAACTAACAGCTGGACAAAGAAAACAGAATACTCCCAAGGCTTGCAGGGTGTGCTCTGATCATAGAGACAGCTTTGAAGTAACTGTCAGAAACACACTCTGTTCATATACTCAGACAAGCCTAGTTTGATCTGAACTGCACAGTCCACTAATGAATATGCATAAGCCTAATGTGTCAAAAAATATGAAATCCTGAAATGCGGTAATTCTGAAAGAACTGCATGGTTGTTAAATGTGCGCAAAGACGACCAATGGTGATTTTTTTTGTTGTATGAATTACGGGATGTGTAGATAAGCAAATGGTAAATTAGTGAGGCTTTACAGTATATTGAATTAATCATAAGAATTATATTTTTAGCTCAGTTAGATGTACCTTTAGATTTATGATATGCTTCATATTTTCTTTATTTAGCTTGTTGACCTCAACTTTTCCAAGCCTTTTATTTAAAACTGTTTGTGTATACTGCCTACCATGAGAACGGGAGACTGCTTTGTAAAAGTTACAGTGGGAAAATAAATCTCAGATATGGTACAATAATAATTTAGTGACAATGAGGAGAGAAAAGGTTTTGGCAGGAGGAACTTTATCAGTGACTGCAGCGCAGGGAAGATGAGATCACCGGGTTCTGACGCACCATAGACTCTTCCTTCTCATCTGCCTGGAGACTTGGTTGCAATAACCATGGAATTCGAGGAAAATAAGACCAAGAAGATCTTAAGAAGTCATCTAAATTCCACTCTCAAACAACACAGGACCAATTAGGTCTATACCATCCCTCACACATACTGGCCTAACGTCTCTTACAACCCCTGATGACATGACTGCCCCAGCAATCAATTTCAGCACTTGGTATCCTTACAGCTGCAAGGATTTAACTCACATCTAATCTGAATCGATTTTTTGGCAATTTAAGTTCATGACTTCAAGTCCTGCCTCACACGGATATGAAGAACAGAAGATTCTCCTCCCCTTTCATCAGCTTTTATGAGATTGTCATCATCCCCACACTTTAGGCTCTTTTCCTTCAGTCTGAATAACTGTAATCCATTCAACCCTTCTTTTAGCTCAATCCTTTTTCTAGACCTCCCTGATGGTTGTTCTCCTTTGGTTTTCCCAGTTGTCTCATGTTTTCCTCCAAGTACAGTGTTCAAACACAACACAGTATTCCAGCTGAAAGTTTACCAGTGCTGAAGGAAGAGGAAGGACCACTTCAGATGTCCTGCAAGGACACATGCACAAATAGCAACAGAGAAAAGACTTCCCCTTTGTGCACGGGTGTGTGCGACTACACGCACACAGTGGAGAGGAGTCACGTGAACATGTACAAATACATATATAGCATTGAAAAAAATGAACTGAAAATTTAAATACAGACAGAAAAGAGTGAATAAAATCAATCACACTGCAACATCGTGCTTATTATGCCACATGTAGCACCTGCACATCCTTTCCACAGCACTGAACTGCTCCTTACACTAGTTGTCCACAATCCCAATTAATTGTATACAGACCTATCAGTACACAGCTGCTGCAATCCCCATGTTCCTTGAATCCCTCTCTCCCTCTCTATCCAATACCTGCTCCGATTCCTCTGGTGCTTGGTTTCTACCCAGGTGGAGCCATTCACACCCAGAGAGTACCCTAGTATATTTTGTGGGGGTCTCTTTCCCAAAGATAATTCTAGAGTTTGTTTCCCAACGGCAGGAGTATTGGTGAAATTCCTCAGCAGGATGTGCCTTCAAAATAAAGGCTGGGTAAATGATTCTGGCATTGGACAGCCCTGAGGCAGCTGGAGAGGGAGATTTTATTTTTGCCTTTGTTGAAAATTTATATTTTTCACAGCTGTCAAGAATCTAAATCAATTGCAGTTTTACAGAAAAGATAAACTCCCTCACCCAGACAATCTCTATCCCAGCCTTTAGATCTGCACCACAGGACATATTTCATATTTTTTATTAAGTACATATTGGATTTATAGAAGAGAGTAAAAAAGATTAAAGATGAATTCTTACAGACCAAGCACAGGTCTGGGAGTGCTATTATGACAGGAAATTATGACCATTATCTATTTATTTTTACTTCTTTCCCACTGCAAGTCAACTTTAAACTGTTGGCCAATGTCTTTTTTTCTCATGAGATCTTTTTTTGGTCAATGAATTCTGTCAATACACTGTAGGAGCTGAATTTAAGTTCTTTTGCTCAGGTATGATGTCGACCATTAGCTTAACAAAGTGAGAGAAGAACTCATCAGGGCTTTGGGTGAGCCCCAGCCCTCTTGCAGAAGGTTCTTCTTGGAGCTCTGGAGCTCTCCCCTTGTCCTCTGCTCCCTCCCATGGCAACACCAAGGGAAGCTGTGAAAATATTAATTTAGGGAAGAATCAGCTATATTGCAAACTTTTTTCACTCCAGCAGTGGCATTAGAGCTAATTTTTCCCACCAGCAACGCACACTGTTGCACAATCAGAAGCAAACAGAGTCACTGTGGGGCTACTGCAGGAGTACGGGGTTGCGGTATTACAATGTGATAGAAACCACATCGGCACGGGTGCTGGTCGAGGCTGGGGTTAATGTCTATCTTTAGTTTTGCCAGAAGATGTTGCCATGGGGAATGCTCGCTGGCAGGCATGCACAGCATCTTCTGGTTTGGGTGCTCCCAGCAGGAGCCCATGGAGACGGCGCTGGGGGCAAGTCAGAGTGGAAGTGGCTTCACTTGCAGCCTAGCTTGGCAGGAGCCCGGGTGTGTGTCAGTGCCGGTCCTTGGGAAGGGAAGTTTGTTCACACTTCTTCCAGAGCAGCTGCAGAGCTGGATGTTGTAATAAAACGTTTACTAACTGAAGTAGGGCAGTCAGCTCCAACTGCGTGGTCTAACCATGGAGCACCTCTCAGCTATGGAGACAGGTGACTATAAAGAGATGTTAGCATCTAGGTTTTGGGGTAATGTATTTTTGAACATGGAAAAGCCTTCTTGACTGATGGTTCCAGTTGTAGCTCAGCTCTCATAGTATGCTTTAGAATAATAAAGACCATATTTTGCTCTCCTCATCCAGGTTTACATTTGCCACATCTTTTTCGTTTTGCTCAACGTGGCTTGGGTAATATAAAAACTGGCTTAAACAGCCTTTCACAAAGATTGAACTTGGCTGAAACTGGACTTCACTTCCAGCCTAGGAAGGTCTGGACAAGCTGGAGAAATATCTGGAAAACTTGAGAGAATCCCTACTCATATATAAGATGACCAGATCAGGTTTGCAGCCCGAGGAAGGTTTGTGCAGTTAAGAGTACATAAGTCCATACAGACTCAGCCGGTGCCTTCTGAACCTTTTGAGGCTCATCTGACATTTTGTAAGGAACAGGTCCAGTGGCACTGCAGGTATCAGGGCAATGAGTCGCTTGGGAGGTTGCACGGCTTTGTCTGGACCCCTGGGTTCCAGCAGCCATACCCGGCAACCTAGTTATAAAACATGCAGGGCAATTTGCAGGGTAGTGAACTCTTCCCAGTTCCGCTCAAATGAACGTTAGAAATACAATCTCTCAGCAATTTGTTCTTTTGCACATTGGTAGAGAAAAACAGCAACAAATTTTAACTATAGTCTGTGAGGAAAATTAATCGAACACTTACTAAGTAATGAACTAAGGATCAGAATGTAACAGGCTAAGGTTAAATATTGACTTCTGTCTAGCATCCCCCCACCTATCCCCCCCAATCTGCTTCACAAAGAGCTCTCATGGAGTGAATGCCCTGTAAAGTAGCTTCACTTAAAAGGTGAAATACTTTCAGCTTGACATCATCTACAAATACCATAATATGCTTTGGGTTTATAACCTAATATTTTCCTGGTTGTGAGCCAGTATCTGGGAATCGTGAAATACTTTTTTTCCCTTGACTATATATTAGAGGAATGATAAGAAATCAGAACAGAACTTAACGCATATTTGTCTTTCCCTCTTAGCGGCTCAAAAGAATGCTTTACAAAGAAGAAACATCTTTATCACTCACCTAAATGCATCAAGGCCTCCTTGTCCCAGGGCCAAGTTGCCACTCCAGCCAGCTCTTCCTCGGAGGAATTGGCAAAGAAGATGTTGAGGTGTGTGGATCCATCCAGTTTGAGTATGTTCTTTAGTTCATTGACATCTAAGTATGCTCTGCAGAAAACAAAAAGCATTTTTTTTTTCCTAAAGGTGACACAAAAAGCAACAAAATATTGAAGAAGTGCTGCAATCCAGGCAAAGATCTTACAATATCCTGCACATTAGTCACCTGAAATATTTTAATAACCCACTCCCAAACTTCAATTACTTTGCTTTCATACAGTGAATCTCATCTAAGAACTTCAGGCCATTGCTTAACTAAGGCCACAAAATCCAAGGTAAGTACATAAAGCTGTCCACATTCCTAAGATAAGTATAGGAATCTATTTATTATGAATGTAATTAACCATGTATTATGGACAGTAAATCTTTTTATATCAGCAGTTACCTTGTACATTTCCTCTAAGCTGTTTATTATTGTTACCTCTAATTTTCCTTCACAATAACAAGTTTCACATCTTTACTCCTTTAGCACCAGTGGCAGTCACTTGTGCTGAGATGCACACATCCGACATAGGATGGTTGGTTGGGAATTGCTATTTCCAGCAAGCAAAGTTGTGCCAAGAGGCCTCTTTGCAAGAGATCTCGGCAGGAGTGGTACCATACCATGACATAAATTCCTAAGAGGCCTTAGGTCCCCCCATCCCCAGGTGAGCAGCATTTCTTCTTAGCTTTTGGGATGTCTGGAGGTTACAGAGCAATCTGCTTGCAGGCAAGCAAAGCTAATCCCTTAAGCTTGATGAATGTTGGAAGTACTTTTTGCACTCCTTTAAAGGAACAGACTTTGTCAATACTGGAACATAGACTTTGTTGATATTGCAACGCAGGAGCTACCTGCTGAAGTGTGTACCACGGTGCCGCGCTGCTTTCAGTGGCACCGTGATGCTTTAACTCTGAGTAAAGCTGGAGAAAGTGAAGCATAAGAGTTCTTGGTTCTTTGATTCTAGCTCACATTGTCTTTTGATATGAAGTGTTGTGCTAACACCAGACCTAAACCACAGATAAGTTGTATTGTCTTCACTTGACAGGTGGAAACAACAGAGAGAGAGATCACACTGAGTCAAGTGTGGTTGACTAGCTTGTAAGGAAAGGATACCATGATGGTCTTGAGCAGGTTAAATCCTACTTCCTAAAGTCCCCTTTTCCATATGTGTATGGGTGTGTATAGGGCCCCATGTAGCCCTCACGAACCAAACGCACTCACATTCAGTAAGTAGGGTTCCTTGCATACTTTGCAAGGCTTTCGTTCCCAGAAGGGTGAAGAAAAAATAGGGGAGTTGGCTCAGCACCAAGATCTTTCTGTCCTTCCCTGGAGGACTCCCCAATGGAAAACACATTCATATTTCCACAATAGCTTCCCCTGCCACTTGCTGAAGTCATTGCCTCCAAAATAGTTCATGGTTGGGTGTCCCCAGGCCCTCGCTGACTCACGGAGGAAGACATGCTCTTTGGGGACACCAGTGGAAGGGCATGTTTCCATTCCATACAGTGTTTATCTTCTGATCAAATGTGGATGACATCCTGGAGGACAGGTCAGCACTGTAACCCTTTACACATTTCTCATCTCTCCACTGTTCCAACACATCTATGGAAAATACACAGATCTTCCCCTCAGCTCCTCAAGCTTGTTCTGCGTGTATCTGCGCAATGTTCTGAGGCTGTATGTAATCTATTTCCAGGATCTTCTTTGTACCTTTGAAAACATCCTTTCTAAACATGGAGTCATACTCATACATGTCCATGAGCAATAGTTTGAAACTACATATGAGAGCTAACATGCATTTCCAAATGAAAGCGTAAAGGCATCGGGGGAATATGTGATAGAGGATGTGTGCGTGTGAAGGGGACGATGTGCACGTCTGCACGTATGGCAGCATCTGCAAAAGACAGTGAGCAAAAGTGTAAGGGAGAATTCGGGAGTGATGTGAGAGGACAGAAACAGAAGCATTGCATACCTCTAAGAAGAAAAACGTTTGTGTGTTTTGTATCACAGTGGGAAGGAAAGGCCCACTGTCTATATTGAGACTGCGGTTGTTGACTCTGGATGCAGACGCTTTATGGCCTATGCAAATCCCTGCAGGAGTAACTATAATCAAACTCCCCTCCTGAGAGTACCATTTTTATCCTCGCTCTACTCTTACGGTTTCAAATAATCTAAACTAATATTTCTTTATTCTCAGCTGCCTCTTTGCTTATTGTTTACACAATCCAATCCCCATTTATATCCTCAGTGCACGACCACAATCGCGCTCTCACTTGCATACAGGCTATGTGCTTTAACATCTAGGGCTGTTTTGTACATGGATTATTACTGCAGACAACATCCAGAGCAGACAGCATTTAAATTAATTGGCCAGTGATGTCAGTGCATCACTGAGACCAAACTCCTGTCTTACGTAAATCCACTGTGCTAAGTCAACTGGACTTGCTTTTATAGCATTTCCCTGACCGCTACTTCTCTGCTAGCCAACAAAAGTCTGCAAATGAGCAGAATATATTCAAACCCTGTAAGAACAGAATGCTAAGAGGATTTTTAGCAAAGGGTCTGCACAGGAGTAGGTGTAAACAGATCGTGTTTGGGAGGAAGTAAATGCAAACCCCTTTGTAAAAGCAGTCAGCAACCCCCAGCACACAAACATGCTCAAGCATTTAGCGCCGGCAAATCCCTTGTAAGCGTGCGAACGTGTGCCTGCATGTGTGTGCATGAACAGACGTGCGAGTGTATAAGCAAGGGTTTGGATTGTGCACACATGCAAGACAGCCAAGAGCATGCATGCAAAGGAACCAGCATGCGCGCACGAGCGTGTGTGTGTGTGTAAGAGATAAAAACATGAGCTGGAATTCCATCCTTTCCTTCCTCCCCATGTTTCTAATAACCTCCCATCCCTATCCATCATCACCACATTCCTACGCTCAAGGAGGCATAAATTAGCTACTTTTGCAGTTCATGTCCAACTACGTAGCCACAGGCAGCAGACCCAACAGTTACCAGGTCAAAATAGTTTTCAGTTATTGTGTTGGACTAGGCTGACTCCCCCCTGCTGCCACGGCTGCTTTGTTATCAGCCCAGACTATCTGACCCAAAGCAATCTGCGAGCACTGCTTACACTTCTCAAGGTTATGTGGGTCCCCTGATAGAGGACATAATGTCTGTCACATGGGCTCGTGCCAAAGAGAGCCAAGGAGCCCAGCCTTTCCAGCACTGCCAAAATTGCATTTCAAAGACATGAGTGCAGTCTTGGAAAGGGATCAAAGCCTTTCCAACTGTCATTAGAATATTTCCTTTATGCATCTCTCTGTGAGTGCCAGCAACATATTTCATAAAATTCATTGGCTCGAGATGGTACCTCCAATATAAACCTGAATGGGGGAACTGTCAGGGCAAGTCTATGTGGAAAACAAAACAAAACCCAAAGCACAACAAAACACGTGTAATTCCTGTAATGGAAAAAACATATGATGCTGCGAGCGTGCCTTGCTCAAGAAAGCCTAATGAGCCTATTAGTGCATCATAAAAGGTCTCCTTTGCTGGAATCTGTTTTAGACATAGACATTCTATGGGCTGTTTAAGGCCATTTGGGACACCAAATCATATCAGGCAATGTGCACATTCCCACCCAGATCTTTTCATCGACTTCTTTGTCCAATGCACAGCTTTGGTTTGCTTTTTTCCTCCACTGCAGTGTAAGTAGCCCTCTGAAACCATACTGTACAGCAGATTGCCCTTACCCAGTTAGCCCCAGACCTCAATCAGTAATATGCATCCCGTACAGCGCTCCAATTTCAGACTAATGGAGTCTTTACCTCATCCAGCAGTGCCTCACGACTGCCCGACCCGCCACGCAGCCTGCCCCATCAGTCACACGAGCCATCATCCCCGTGCTTCTCTCATCTGTCAAGCCCCTTTCCTGTCCATTTGGGCTGTGGCTTGGCCGCAGCAGGATGTGACCCTGGGTGGCGAGGGGAAGCCCCCAGCCAGCAGCTCCATCTGCCCGCAGGGACCACTGCGAGGAGCTCCCTTCTGCTGGCCCTCAGCTCCACAGCCAAAGCCAGCCACAAATTTCTGCTGCTTAGCTACAAACACATTTGACAATAGCTTTCAAACTCAGTTGGTATCACACCTAATCGGATTAAATCTGGCCTTGGGGACTAGAGTCCAGCAGTTTTCTAATTGGGTTGCAAACTCTTCCTACTCCATTTTGTTCCAGGTCAGAGAGTGGCTTTCCCATGTTTCCCCAATGTGGTTGGGGTGCCGCCTCTTGCACTCGTGGTTGTTTTTGCAAGGAACACGGAGCCTTCCAGCCCTTATTGTTAGGAAATGTTTTCTACTGTTTGCTGTGAGTTATTCTCTATTTGACTTTGTTTTGGTTTTTTCCTTCAAAGACAAGTGTCACTTTACAGCAAGAAAACAAATGGGGTACTTAAGGGATTATTTACAAGACCCCACCCAAACACAGAGTAGGAACTGTGCTATCTGCTCACTATGGAGTAAGGTTTCCAACTGCCTGATGAGTTTGTTAGGAACAAAAGGCACTGCATTTCACCATTAAAAAAACAAAACAAAACAAAACAAACAAAAAACCCCTAACATGCTACCATCTTCCGAATTGGGAAGTCAGCCTCGAAAAGTCTCCATTTTATCTCTTGACGTACAATGTCCTATCCTTTACCTACCGGGTTCAGCATATGGCAGGACAGGGTAAATCTGCTGGAATCATAGGGACCCAGTACATCATTCTCCTTCCCAAGACTCCTTGTTTTTGCTTTCATTTGGTGCTCTCAAAAGAGCTGCTCGCCCAGCTTAAATCATGGTATAGTTTAGTAGACGAAGATAAAGCTTTTCCGGACAGCCCTGGCAACACTCGCCAGCAGGTTGTGACAGCTCCAGGTGCGGTTCCCAATGCGGTGTGGCTGACAGGTCTCACTGGTGTCCCCTTTGTCCCTCCAGCTCTGATCTGGGCCCCAGGACCGACACTAACTCATTAGAGCAGCAAAGACCACAGCAGTCAGTATGTGGACAGGCACTCACCAACTGTCTGTCTCATTTGTTCAAA